ACGCTACTGTTACAACATTGGCATTTGCATAGCTTGATTATTAATATTCTAAGGAATTTCCAAAGCTTTTGTTTGTCCCCAGAATCAATGTAATGCGCCAGCGTTAATTTGCATATTTTAGGTATTTTAAACAAGACTAATTAATTGTTGGTGAGGTTAATGTACGAGCTTAAAAAAAAATAAAAATAAATAAGAAATACAGCTGATACTACCAAATATTTCAGTCGAAAATTATAAATAAAAATATATAAAAAAGTAAAATATATTGAAATAAAATCGATATCAACTTTCGAGCTTCAAAGTTGTATACAATTTATCAATTTATATATGTAAATATGTCTGTATATCGCAAAAAGAGAAACCTGTTCAAACTACCGCTGCACGGAAATTATAATACCCTTCATAAGTGGATCTTTTCTAGCATAAAGGTATATAAAAAGAGGTTTAACCTGATTTTGATGGCTATACTTGTATGGAAACTATATGAAAAATAATATATATAATAAAATTCGTGGTTTTTCCACAAAAAACTTCTTTTGCCCGATCAGTTTGTGTGGCAGCTATATGATATAGTGGTCTGATTTTAGTCGTTCCGCCAAATATTTCTTTTTTTGGGGAGGAAAGCTTGAGTATAGAATTTCAGACCGTTAACTCAAAAATTGAGACACTTGTTCAAGTTTAAATGCCTAATTCGATTCAGCGCATCACACTGATCATTTGTATATATTCTTAATAGGGTCCCCAACTCTTTCTTTTGAATGTTACAAACTTCATGACAAACTTAAAATATGCTATTCAGGTTATAAAAATTCAAAATAGAAATCATCACCATCATCGCAAATGCGCTCACAAGCTTAAACTTCAAATGGTTGCCCATACATATCCACGTCCAAATTTGCTTCAGTTTTATTGTTCATTACTTAATACATATATATGCACATTAATATCGGTTTACGGCTGCTTCCGAAACTAGAAAACACCAAAATATCCAAATTATAAATAAAGAAAGACACTATTCGAAACCAGTTCGTTTAATAAGTCATGGCTCCGCGCATATTGATAAAATTCTTTATCAGCAATTCAGGCAGACAGCTTTCCGTTGGTTGCTTTTTGTCACCACAATTGTGAGTATGTATGTATTTAAACTAGTGTGTCTGCAAACTGGCTAACTCTACTCTACATTTAGTTGCATATATTAAGTTTTCGATAAGCTAGTATTTACTGATTTACATCGCGCTTAAACAGTCCTCTCATGTTTGTTTATAAGTCTGTTTTGGTTTTAACCGTGAAAAGATTTCAATAATAATAAAAATTAATCGATTCTAGTCTCTGCTTAAAGTCTATTTGGGGCATTTTTTCGGCAAACTTTGATTCAAACACGCAATCTGACGTGTAAGTGAAACGTAAACTACTAAGATTCAGATTAAGTGTACACGAAGAGGATCGATTCGGCGCCGATCGCAGCAACTCTAACTGACGTATGGAACGGCTTGACGCAATTTACGTCGAGATCTTAAATTGAAAGTTATTCGACCTTCCCAAGCGACATCGCTGTCCTCTAAGGGCTCCTGGAAAGTTCCAAGAAGATCCAACGAACCAAGTTTTGTTCAGCGATGAGGCCCATTTCTGGCTCAATGTGGTTTATGGGCTGGTGAAATCATCGGTCCATATTTCTTTACAAATAATACCGGTGAGAACCTAATCGTATATGGTGACCATTATTGCGCCATGAGAACCGACTATTTGATGGCTGAAATTGAAGCTCGTGTAATCTTTCATCTCATCAATCAATGAATGTATTGAGAGAACACTTCGGTGAGCAGATAATTTCACGTTTTGAGCCGGTCGATTGACCATCAAGATCGTGTACTACCACAAATATCTAAAGTCTATGCGAACAATACCGCTTCGTGAATTAGAGCAAAATATCACGCTTGTCATTCGCCAATTTCAAGTGGAAATTCTCGAACAAGTCAGCAAAAATTGGACTCAATGGAGTGATATCTCAGACATAGTCGTGGCCAAAAGTTGAAGGGGATAATCTTCGAAAAATAAATGCCAAAGAATGTTCTTTTGAATGATAATAAACATTACCCATTCAAGTTGAAGTTTCTGAGTTTTTCTTTAAAAAAGTAGGGAACCTCGAAATGGATCACCATTTACTATAGTTTCTGCCTAAAATGTGGACGAATTACATTGGCTTCCACATATATCAATATTTGCATAGTAATTATCACCAATCTAGTCGACTTTATGTCAATGTGGTTATTCCTTCATTCAATTTGGTGGTTATATTATTTTGAGCAAGATGAAATACTTCCAGCTGCTCCTCTGGCCACCAATTTTTACAACTTTTGGCTGGAATGGTTTTCAAAGCCTTCAGCGAATTTTGATTGTTGCGATTTCGGCACATTTTTGGAGCACCATTCGTTAAATTTTTGAACAGTCTTGACTTCTTATTTCTAATCTCACGTCTCGTAATCAGTAATGATATGTTTAATGAATGCACGTTCTCACCAACATTATCAAACATCTCTTTTGCTAACTCCGCTTGACGTAGTTTTTGCAAAGGATTCAATTCTTTTTATACGAGCCTAGCATTGACACGCTTCATATCCAAAACACTAACTAAAATATTGAGTCGATTCATAAAAGATGCGCAGATGCTCCGAAAAAATTTGGTTTTAACGGTAAGGCAAAGATTTTGAAGCACTGCTTATTTTACTTTTTCTTTGTTATTAACAGAGGCATGATAAGGTGAACTCCCCAAAGCACTGCTGCAACATTTTTAACGATTCTGTTATCGTGATTCAATTCGAGATACGAAATTTCAGGCAAACTCATGGCTCATTTTTTTTCCTTTGTAAACACCACCACACAAATCTTTTCGCGCTTCTAATTGATATTTGGAGATCAAACTTCATATGAACGCAAAACAAATTGTACCAAACTAACAAAATAATTTTGGTGGAATCAATTTAAACAACTGCGTGTTTCTATTGACCAGTATGGCTCAAATTTGAAGAACAAATGTTTGAAGAAGATATTTATGTTTCACTATTAAAACAAAGTATTGTTCGCAAAAAAACATCCACACACGTCTTTATTTTTATTTTTATTTTTATTTTTTTGTAGCAAATGCGGAAACCGAAATCCAAACTTGACTCGTTTTACTGCACTGCAGTAAAAGAGCAGTTAAGACACTCTAGCAGCATTAGTCCCAATTGTGTTAATATAGCTTATGCAATGTACTGATATAAAACAATAGCGGAGTTCAAGCTTATGCAAAACCAAGCGCGATATTAAAAATAATTAAAACTACAAATTCAAATTTGGGCAAACATAATTCGCGACAAATAGATTTATGACCCGGTTGAGTTTAAATTAACTTCGAATTTAAATGCGATGCATAGCTGTACAAATCTGCAAGCATAGAAGTTGATTTAGCAGTTAAATAGAATTGGGTGTTTTGTACACTTGTACACTCCAACAAAGAATTTGTTTCAAATTTTGTATTTCGAACCAAATTTCGTATGCAAAATCCTTGCGAATGTTGGAAGAGGCGTACGATGACTTAGTTTTATCAAATAAACCAGCCAACGAGTGATACAAAGCCTTCAAAGGCGGTCGAGAGATCGCTAAAGAAGATAAAAGTATTAAAAGAGAAAAACATATGGTGGTTGAAAATAGTCAGACAAGTGTTAGAGAGATGGCAATAGAGTACGACATCTCTCGAGAGTCCGTTCGAATGATTTTGGTGGATATTTTGGATATGAAACGCGTTCTTGCTGGAGTTCTATAAAAATGTCTATTTGGACATCCTCGATCATGCGAATTTCGTTAACGCACTCATGGAGAGCGTTATACTGCCGATGGGAAATAACCAAAACAACCACGCCAAAGCCCTAAAAAAATTGAGAAGAGGCCCACTGTTTTTTTCGATATTCGTGGTTTGTTATCACGAATTTGTTCCGGAGGAACAGACGGTTAAATGAGTTATATTTGGCTTTATTGAGGTGTGAGAACATCTGTCGAAAATGATTGGAATTGTGGAAGAACAACTCATGGAATTTGTATGATGAAGATGCACAATCGTAGCGAGTCACGATAGTGACCGAATTTAAAAGCAAAACATGCCATGAATACCATCGGTCAACCACCCTATTCACCAAATTTGGCTCCGTATAATTTTTTCTTGTTCCCCAAACTGAAATTACCGCTTCGTGGAGCCCGTTTTCAGTCGATCGAAGAGATAAAACAATATTCGCTGATGAAACTGAATACCATCCCAAAAAGACCTTCTAAAAAGTGTTTCGAGAACTGGAAAAATTGTTGGCATTAGTGTATTACACCTTGAGGGGATTACTTTCAAGGTAACAAAATAAACATTGATGACTAATTAAATATTTTGTACTTTATGTACAATTTCCGGGTACTCTTTTGTCACAATGTATACTAATACTAAATTTTCTGCACTACAAATAAGCCTGCACATTTTTGCCACAAAACCACCCTTCTAAAAGTTATACACAGTTTACATTTTACAACAAATGTACGGAGCCTTCATTGAAGTGATTTTGTGTTGCTCATACGACATGGTATACACTATGAATGCAGTACTTTAGCTGTTTAATTTTAATTGCTTATAACTTGTAAAGGAATATTTTTCTGACAAAAAAAATCTATAAGAAATATTTTTAGAATGAAAAATGTTGTATTGAATACTATTATCTTAAATTTTGTTGTTTTATTTACTTCGGAGATAAAAAATGTAATGCGAAATATCAAAAAATTTCATGTAAAAAATGGGAAAAAAGTTGGCTCGGTTTAAATCGCAAATAAAACACTTGATAACGTTAGATAATGTTTTTTAGGCCAAAAACTGAAATACCAGAACACAGCTTGTGATATAGCGGTCACCCTAATACTTGGTTTGCTTGGCTAATAAATTAGAATAAAATGCGGAATACTTTATTAATACTAATTCTAATAAAACTCACCTCTTTTGTCGCGCTGCGCAAGCTGCTGTTGTTGCTGCAGATGATGAGTTGGTTGCTTTTGCTGCTGTTGTTGTGCGCGTGTTTCTTCGCCATTGTATGCCGCAATTGTTGAACTAGAAACTGGATGATTGACGACTTTTGTGCCGTTGGCGCTACTGAATGGCTGAGGAAATGTCTGAATTCTGCTATAATTGTGGTTGTGGTTGTTGCTGCTGCTGTGATTGCTGTCGCCGGAGTTGATAATGACCAGTGATAAGAGCATGAGCAATACCGATATGCGTGACATTATGGTGAATCAATTTGTTTTTGTTTTTTATCTTAAAAATATTGCACTGAAGAATTCACGTTTAATTTTAGTTTTATTTTAAATTAATTTTATTTTATTACTTTTTTAGTATTAAAATTATTTTTTAGTGTTGAAATATTTTTATTATTACTTATGTTTTTTTAATTAATTTTTTTTTTTTTTAATTATTTTTATAGATATATATATATTTTTTATTGTTATAACTATTTATATTATTATTTTAAATATTATTTAAGATGTAGTGATGACTTTTTTAAATATCTGGCGCTTTTGATGACTGACTGCTTAAAAGTGTGACTGACCGTTAGACCGGCGCACGCGGAATGCGCTCCACTCGCTGTGTTTCGTAGCGAAAATGCTGTTCAAGGTAAAGTCGCTGCTCGTGCAGCGTTTAGGCGGCGTCTCAAAGCGCAGGCAGCTATGCGGTAACGTGACGCACTTAACCACTCGACGCTCGATGCTCGAAATCCAAATTAATAACAGGGTTCGTTGGCTATAACTAAGGCATCTAGCGCATTAGAAATTTGTTCACAGCAAGTTGAAAACTTGACGCGCTTTCAATATATTTTTGTAGTTGTAGAATAGTTGTTGCTGTAATATTTTAATTTTTCGTAGTATTTATTGTTGTAATATAAATTTGTTTTTAACATTTGCTATTGTTGTTGTTGTTGTAATATTAACATTTTTAAATGATATTTTTTGTTGTAATATTTAAGTTTTTTATAACATTTTTTGTTGTAAAATCTGCATTTTTTATACTAACTGTTGTTGTATAACTATGCGCTTGCATCTGATTACTATGCATCGTTTATTTATCAAATCGTTAACGAAATTTTCAAGTCAATAGTAAACAAATGCGCGGAAGACACCACACACGCGTTACGTCACTAACACACCGAAAACAAGTTTATCGCCGTCGCGTCCACTAGCCTTTAACTGTCGCTTATCTGGATTCAGGCTGGCCGTCTGGCTAACTTGTATAGATTATATTATTGTACCTGTTCCGTTACAGCTGGCTGCGCCGCGTGTTACATTTCTCCGCGGTCACTGCTTATTTCTGCACCAATGAAACACCTTCACCACTGCACACCACTCTCACTTTCGCCTGCGACGCACTCGTCCAACCGGCTTGACGACCAAAACTAAATTGGAATATTTTATGCATGTAAATCTGCGACTAATCAAAACGCTTTCTAAACATTCTGTTGACAATATTCAAATGCAACAAATTATGAGAAATAAAATTTCCAAAGAAAATAAAAAAAAAACACAAAATCGAAAAACAACCACAATTCGTTGCGACAAAAGGCGCTAATGAGGCCGCTGACGCTTAGCTGTTGAAGCGCACACTGGCCACTCGTTGCTGTCTATCGTTTCGACTTCCACCAGTCCCACCTATATGCATGTGCATATGTTTGTGTCATTATTATCCAACGGATTAATTAAGGCCGCGCCGAAGAAAGCATATTCGTTTATTCATATTTCAGCGACGTAGTATTTTCGATTATTAAATAACAGCAACTAATAAAAAAAACCCAAAGAAAAAATTAATGCAAACACAACACCGCCTTTCTTCACCGTAAATGGTGTGTTGTTGTTGTTGACTTGAATAAAAAATGTTGTTCGTAGCACGCTGTACGCGATGCTTCACTTCGTTCGTTACACTTGATTAAGTCGAAGCTTTGAAATTTGTAATGTAAATGCTGCGCATGCGCGCCACAGCTGGTCTTTGCACAAAAGTTCGTAGTTTTGGACGTAAGAGAGTGAAATTGCTTATCAATAGCGTTGTTCTTATTGTTGTATTGTTGCTGCTGCATTAATGACTACCAGCGGGTGGTAAGCGCTGCTTGACCAAATGCGTTCGCATGCACTTATTAGCCATGAAATTCCAGCGCGATAACTCCGAGTACTACATACACATACAGCACATGCGCTCTCTGCTCTGCCTCTACTTGAAGCTTTGAAAATTGCAATACATTCACTCTCTTTGGTGTGCGCTCTCTCACTGTCTTCGTTTATTAACGCTCACTAACTGTAGCTTCGTTGCGCTCACCAAGTTTCTCATTGCCACTTTTGCCTCTTCGCACTGATGCTGCGGCGATCTTTTGGCATTCGCGCGTTGACAATCACGCTGTTAACATCTTAAATAATGCTTGTCGCTTGCTTGGTGGCAAAATCAAAATATATTCCACTACTATCTAGCGAGCTGCCGTCTCTCTGCATGCTTGCTTGGCTTTCGACGTACTAAATGTTGGCATTGCTATTCGTAAAACCGTAAACTGTTCGTCGCTCTCTGGAACTGATTGCTTGCTCTTTGCCACCGAGCTGGACTTATTTGTAAGTCGTTGAGTTTGCTCTTATTTTGGCAAGCTTTGCCTTTGCTTGAGTGGCTATTGCTGTGTGCTATTTCACTGACTCTTTGAGATATTGCAATTGGGGAACAATTTTCAGCCTTTCACCTCAAAACTAGTCGTAATGTTTTACGAGTATAATGTTGTGCCTTTGCGCTCAGCACAGCCACTGCTCCTCGTGAGAAATTGCTGTTACCGTGAACAAATTGCAATGTGTATGGGTCTTTTCATTCATACATTTACATATATTAACTTGTATAAATTTTTTCACTGGAACTGGTTGCATTCTTAACATCATCCTTGCATTTATGGATGATCATTAAACCAGTCGCTTAACCAATAACTAATGACAGCGTATTTAATGGTTTGAATCGAGTAATCGAAAAAAAAGTGAAATCAAAAGACTTAAGCAACAAACTCGATAAAATATAGCCGCTGTTGGAAATATGTTAAAATTAAAATTTCAGAATAGCTGCATGGAAACCAAGAGAATATTTCTTTAAGGTAAGGATAGTTTTAAAAGTAGTAACTTTTCTAAAACAAAGCTATTCATATGAATAGTAGGTATTCAACGAGTTCAGTTGGAGAAGTATATTTAAAACACTTAATTCAAGAAATATTTGAAGTGAAGTTCAATGCTTAAAAAATTTATTAAAATTGAGCAATAAATTGTATGAATACCTTACAGGCGTTGGAGCGAAAATGTTTTAAGAAAAATTAGTGCTTTTAACTATGTCAAAAATATAAAAAATATAGCCTTAAAGACATCTCACCAAGAGCACAATAAAGTGCTACAAGAGGTATTTTCGAATGGTCCAGTAAGCTTATCGTAAACAATTAAATACAGTTCAGTCATAATTATACCCACACTATCCTCGGGTTAAAAACAGTTTTTTTCAACATTTTTTCTCATATATATAAAAAATTAAATATTAAAAATTCTGAAATTAAAAAAAAATACTTTAAACTCGGCCATTGCGATACCTCGGAAAAAAGTTGAGCCCGAGTTGGCAGGATAACTTCTTACAAGATTATCTAAAGTGGAAAAATACGTGTTCTAGTTTAAAACCTTAACTTAGAACTTGTACGAAGAAAAAAAGCTGATAATTCGATTTTTAGCAAACATTTTTACATAATTAAATAAAAATCCGTCGTCCAAATCTTTAGAATTGTATTTTAAAGATCTGTGCCTAATTTCATGAGGATCATTTGACTAGTTCTCGAAAAATCTTGTCAACCGACTTCAAAAACAAAGCTTCCAGAAAAGCGTGTTTAAAGACGATGCACATAGCTTAGCTAGTCTAGAGTGCAAAAGTTCTGAAGGCTGTATCTCTGAAACAATTACTCGGATCAACTTGAAAATCTATGACAATATTCAATATTCTCGAGATATTGTAGAATTTAATAAGACAACCAAAACTTCGGTCTGTTGAAACCCGTAAACCCATGTAACCCCTTAAGTTTGCCATGATTTTTGTAACGCCCATATCAACTATCGACAAAAACGCCCTGAACCCATCACAAACCTGTTTAGGTGTTTTATTTTTAATTTTGCAATTTCACCTAGTTGTCTACTTAAAAGTATCACATCTTAAGTAATTTTACATTGATCTTGCATAAGTGGGGCATTCGAGGGGGAAGTATATTATATTCTTCCAAACAGCTGATGCAATTGGCATTCGGTAAGATATTCAATCTTACTGCATAAATCTCAATCGGACCGTGCCCACTCAGAACTCCCGCAACCACTGAAAAATGAAGCTAAAGCGAAAAGTTTCCTGAACCTCCTACGATACGCTGAGTCAAAGAAGTTCCCGTTCCTACCAGTTCATACCGGTTCCTACCGATTCCCATTCCGCAGTTATTAAAACTAAGGTGACCGACTAAGCAACAATATCTGCCTTACAATTTCCTGCAAAATCGCAGTGGTCAGGCACCAAAACCAGTCAAATCATAAAATACTCGCCTTTCATTAGTTTTGATCACACAATCATCGAACTGAAGACTTACATCGCTGCTCCACTATCTGAATGGATATTCACCACTTTAAAGGTGGTTGCGCTCCGGAGCAGTAGGTTTACTGTCACCTTTATGGCATTCACCTAAGCTTGGAAAACACTGGCGTGGTCAAGAAGCCTAAAACTGGAGATAATGAACAGTGTATTCCTCCACCAACCCTTCCAGCAAGCTTTGACCTATCCGTACAAGGTGGAGTCACTCGTTCTCATACCTCGAAGGTAAATTATCAAAGCGATACCCAAGGTTAGGTTTTAGAGTGCCCACGCTCGCAGTTATCTAAGTATCATGTCATACACTTCGTAGCTACATCCACTACTGATTTATACAGGAAGCCATTTTTCGTGAGTGAGTGTGTGCGACTTCAACCAAACAAATATGCTATAGAACGTTATGGGCCTAACTATGGCTTCACTTTCAGCAGCAGTACAAAGAAACCGATGCTTCTCTTAATCTTTCCTCGATTTTTGGTTTCCATTGAAACTTCTTGTCTGGGATGAGCTGTAGATACTTAACTTTGTTAGGAATCGGAAGAAATTTTCCTCTCATTGATGGTAAATACACCTCTAATATTTTACACTTCCTAGTGAATAAAAGCAACTCTTGCCAACAGGTGCTACTTCAAATTGAGTAGGTAATTGAGAAGTAAAGTCCTCTCTCGACGAACAAAAA